CAAAATGATGTAGGTCATGCTATGTCTGTGTAGTCGCATCCCCCACCTATTTATTCTTTAATCACACATCATTCCCGTCTTCCAATTTACATATCAGAGTCGATTGTATGTCGTTATGTGTACAAACGTATCTTCAAGTATGTGAATCGGGCTACTTGCCGGGTAATAAATAACAACTTTACGCACACTTACCTCCTTCTCGTCAGACAAGTGCCTCATTAAGGGTGACAGGTGATGAACAGGTAACACATACGATCACCTTCACACGCAGTCCCAACGCACTGGTGTTTCTCTCTAGAGTTTGTATCTCACTTTAAACTGTACATCCATCTCGTTTTTTTAAAACACACACTGCAATTTCTTCGTGTTGGCTTTAACGTAGTAGATTTGTTACTATTACATATTCAATCCCAAATGTAAACCGCTTCATAAAATATTAGAACCCCTGTCCAACAATACCCCCTGACTTGGCTACAATAATCAGGTAAATGACTGAAGGGCCCGCTTTGTACCTACATATTTGTGAACGCACCATTGCTATTATATAGGCCGCCCTCTGCGTGTCAATGCACACACTACAATAACATTAAGGCAACTACAGGAATGAAAAGGGACAGGAAAGAACGTCTACCTGGGTGAGAAAGCTGTGCCACAATTAAGGGCTCTGAAGAACGATTTCACAGCACGAAATAGTTCGGTTATGTGTTACAAATTTTCCACTAGGGTTTAGTTAATACACGTTAGCTGATAAATGACGGTCAGCATGACAAGTTTCGCATTAGTAAACTCCTTTACGACGCTAGCCACAGAGCCCTGCAGTAAGACGTTTTTCTTAGCAAAGGTTGCGCATTTTCACGCAACACATTGTTGGTGGCACAATGCAATAATAAGACATAATGGTATAAATTATATTTCAATTGTCGGTAATAATAATATTACGTCCAATCAGCCTGACTTCTTTTAAACTTATACTGTTAAATGGCAGACCTCACGCGCTCACCCGCAGGTGGAGAGATACGCGTGTAGGGATAATATATTGTATTATTGAAGCAATGTATAATAAGGATGAATAACGTAGTTCAGCAAATGTAATTGATTTGTTTTTTTTTGTCTCATTTAGACAGTATATGGAAACTGAGAACAAAGACCAGCACCATGCAAGTTGACGATCCCTTTTATTAAAAACGCATCTTTAAAAAAAGTTAACTTAATGTAACAATATGTTACAACAAAGCACATTTAAATTAATGTCTAACAATGATGAAATTGTAATGAGAGCTTTGCTGTAATAAGGCCCCCTATAGAGGTATGAATAGTACTCAAGAACTTGCAAAGAAGGTTCAAAGGGGAAAGAGAGTAAACGGGGTCTCTTTTTTTTTAAAGATTAAGATACTTTTCAAGCTTACAATAATACGCCGCTGGTCGAGATCCTAGTCACCTGATATCCTACTTTTGGAATTATTAATTTTTTTCTGGATGACCCCCCCCCCCCCCACACACACACACACAACACACACAGTGTTTTTTTCTCGAACTCTCTTTGATACCTTTCCCTCGTTTTGTCACCAATTCTTTCACATAAAGATACACAGCAACTCCTAGGGTCCCCTTCCTTTCCTTAGACGAGGCTGTGATCCGGTCAACGGTGCATTCAGATCTCCGAAGAATCAGCGCACTGACCTGTCCGTACAAAAGGCGTGAAATGAAAAGCAACTGCCGATAACGTATGACAACAATGTGTTAGTGAAGATCCAAAATTCAGGGCACACATTGTGGTAATTGTTTGCAAGTCACATCTAATGTCAGAAAAAATGCACGTTTTCTTTCATACACCAGCAAAACGTTTTATAAAACCCATTAACCCACAAAATAATTTTATATGTAAGTTATTAATGTAGTTAAATGCACTGTAACGCAATAGTATAATATAACCATTACATGTAGGTGCAGTTCTATAGTCCGTTATACTCTTAAGTTTATGACTATTATTCCTGGGCATTAGTTTCTGTTGGCCCACCAAAAGACGGTTCTCTACATAACAAAAACTGCAGGAGAAAAACATGACAATATAACCGTCACAGCTTACGGGTTAAATACATTTTTTAAATCTTTCTGCATCCACTTCTTTGATAGAACAAATATAACGACGTTTGCATTTGGCGTCACAAGATGTCTTAATTGTTTCGCCTTTAGCACTGTTGATGTTATAACGCAAATATTTCATGAAGACATCGGTCCTCTTATCAAAATTTGACACCACGTGCGCTAATGAGATAGACGAGACTTCCTCAGTGCCATATGCCTCGCTAAACTTGTATCCTTTTTTCCACTGTGCTTCGCCCTTCTTATTGGCATCGGACAATTCCAGGTAATGATGCCAATAGTCTTTGACCTGGAAGCTCTGTCTGTCGTATTGCATTAGCCGGATGGTTGGGTTGTGAACAGGCTGGTTTAAGTAAATTGGGGGAATATGAGAACTCCATGGTGTCACGGAAGGTGCTATCAGTGCAAATACTACTGGTTCACCTGTTTTAAAAAGTGTTAAAAAGCTCTTTATTTAAAAATAACATTTTAGCATATATATCATGGTACATTAATTACGGTAAACATTATACAGTTAACCGTTTTTCTGCTCTGAAAGCTTGATTACTTCTAGTGCAATTAGTTACTGAATACTATAGCTTCCACTAATTGTTCATGTCATACGTACCCTGATCGTACCAAAGTTTGAATGTATCAGTATGTTGATGACCGTAAAACATGGCTGCTATGGTATTCTTGTGTTTAATGATAAGGTCATTCAATCTCTGGTTGAATTGTCGTCTCAGAATTGAATGGCCTACCTCAGACATACCCGGTGGAATATGTGCAATCACGTAGGCCTAGTCAAATATCACGGACATAATTAGCGTAAATAAGAATGGATTTAAGGCTTTGGGTAATTATAGTTATTCCTGTCATATAACATATTCATACATGTCAAAATTGATTACTCAACAAAGATCCAGCCTTTAGAAAACGCGTATCTAAGATTAAATTGCCCTACATTATAAATTCCGTGTACAACTTTATTTCTTTTACCTTATTACCATTTTCAGCTGCTTGTTCTAAGACCTGATCAAACCACTGAAATTGCCCTGCAGGATCGCTCATGTCAGCAGTCACTTGGTTGTTGGTATAGTACAAGTTTGTGTTCAACACAACGATCACCAAACCTTCTCTGATACTAATGGTGTAGTAGCCTCCTGTGACGAAATTCAACATGGAAAAGTAAATTACCATTAACTTTCTATTGAATTTTTTAATATTTTAAAAAATAACTCGAAATTTTGACTGAAGTTGATATCCCAAAAAAATTCAAATTAAAATTAAAGTGGGAGCAATATCCTTTCGAATGTTCAGAAATTTTGAGACAATAAGTCGACATTCTGAATTACTAACTCTATATTTCGAGGTCCCCACGCGGAATTTTGAGATACTATCTCGAGTTAACTGAATTTTCCGTCTGCAGACTGGGTTAGGAAAACCCGCAATCAGGTGTACGTAATAATCTGTTTTTAACCAATAAATGACAGAAATCGGCCCATCTGCATACTGCTTACATTAGATATTGGCTATCAATTACACGTGGTCTCTAATCATAACATAAACCAGGACAGTGGGGATCTGAATACAGTGTCCATAAAATATGAAAATAAGAATATTTAAAGAATAGTCATTATTAAACAGAATTTAGTCGGTTCACGGCAAAAAGATATTTTGTGTCAATGATTCAATGGCCCGGCGTAACATAGGCTGTATTCCCAGAGCTTTTAGATCGATCTATCCCCGCGGGGAGTCTCACTAGATTACTGTCAGATANGAGCTTTTAGATCGATCTATCCCCGCGGGGAGTCTCACTAGATTACTGTCAGATAATCCGGCTTAAATTTCCGTCCCGCCTACTACAAGCTGTAAGGGGGTAATTAACTTTCGTGTCCGCTCGGCTGACAGCTATTTAGCGTAAACCCCCGGGGAGTTAGGTCGATCTAAAGTAGATCGATCTAATCTCTGGAAATGGGGTCATAGATGCAATAACCTTTCAGTAGTGTTTTCTTGGCCGTGGAATCGCGGTACCATCGTTGCCACATGTTTGCTGCTGCGTAGTAAATTTTATTTTCATGCGGCGGGAATTGGTCTGGCGGGGAGTAGTCATGGTTACCGAAGGCCGCATATACCACCGTATTTGGAAATACATCAATAAATAGATTAGTCACATCGTGAATGATGCTGATGGTATTTTCAACGCTGTTCTTTCTGTGAGGGCCTGTATCTCTATAATAATAATAATAATAATAATAATAATAATAATAATAATAATAATAATATCCTTATGATAACTGAAAAAGTACAATAAAAAGAATATTGTCATTCTCTTTAACTTTTTAAATTACTGATGTTGTGAAGTTTGACTTAGAGCCGCTGGTAAAATGTGACAAAGACGATTCGTTCATAGCACCAAAGTAACACCGATCTGATTTATTCAAAGATATATAGGTTTGCCAAGAAAACTAAAAAATCTGAAAATCTTAAAGCGCAAAGTGCGTGAGTAGGTATTATATAATAACTAGATAGAAAGATCACAACGTGACATTTTGGTTATAATTCCGCGTTGGTTGTAAGAATAAACAAGAAAACAGTACCCTGTCCAGAGTATAAAGTCTGCGTTAGGTTCAATCTGCTTCATGGCGTGTAAAGAGCTGTTGACAAGAGACCAGGGGGAGTCATTGACATAGTCACCATACGGCTTCTGCTGAGTGTCTGTGAATACATTGGGGTCATAGTGGAGGTCAGCCACGTGCCAGAAGAAGCCTGTCAAGACGACAAAAAAAAAAAAAAAAAAAAAAATACAAAATATGCAGGCTGACTTTAATGCACATAGAAGTGCGGGCTTAACAATTACAAATCCTCCGTGTGCAGTAATTATTTTTAATTATTATTAAATGCTTTATTTAAAACTACTACCGGTATAGACATAATTGTCGGCTACAATTCAACAATGTCATTTCAACAATGTGAAACCCGAAAAATAGGGAAGTTAAGATGGTGTCATGTTACATTTTATTAGCCAAATGAGCTAATAGTTTATGTAATACGGGTAACATATAATTAACTGACGACCACAGACTCACTGCATGTAAAAAAAAAGTTATACTAACGTATTCAGAGTAAGCAGAAGTGACTCTATACTTTGAACGTTTATCAATACAGATTATACTAGACTTGTTAGAACCACATTGGCTTTCAGAATTTCTCAATTTGTTCTCAAACAAATTCCATTGTCATATTGCCCTCACATTACTTCAAAAGAATGCAACTACAGAGGTAAGAGAGCTTGAATTCGTTGTCGTCAACTCTACTCTCTTCAGTTCATGACTATTAATAACCAACATTCCACATGTAATGTGTACATGTGCCAGTATAATAGGTCCAAAGTTAAACACTTCCAAACTTTCATTAATCGTCACACGTACAGATTGAATATGGATGGCGTATAGCTAAAATCTAGAGGGACTAATCAATTTACAGGGTCAACATACGATATCATCAATTTAAATGATCTAGTACTTGTAGATAGAAGAATGCATTTTTATTTTCATGAAAGTAAAACATTTTGTTTTATATAATACGCTTACCAATGTCTCCAATAACCTGTGGTACTGACACCAGACCAACCAGCATGAATACTGTATACATACGTGATGCCATTTTAAACTGAAGCTTGACCCAGTTCTGCACCTGTAAATAATTCACATAATACAGGGTTTCTCAATATAAATGAAACCTATAAATACGATAATGTTATATTACTGAGACATGTGACTGGGATTACATGTCCCGGAAGCTGACATAATAAGAAAGTAAAAACATTGATTTGTTGTCTTTAGCTTAAGGGATGCATTTTTACAGCCCCTGTTGCAAATGGCCACCAATGCGCTGATGACGCACTTGAATGCGACGAAGCAAAGCTGTCAATCACCCTGACACACTCGTTCTTTCGGTATGGCACGCATCTTCTGGTTGATGGCCACTTGTTCAGCAATGAGATTGTGGATTGTTCTCATACACGTTGTCCTTCAAGAATCCCCAGCAATAAAAAAATCTGGGGGTTCAGATCGGGTGAATTCGGAGGCCCCCATCTCGTTGGAAGCAATGTGCATCTCGATTCACGACTTGTTCCCACCAGAATGTGACAGTGATTGCCTTCTCGTCTGCGTTCTCAAACCAAAATGGTCCAAATATTTTACGTTTTGAAATGGTCACCCAGGCCGTGCATTTCACACAGTGCAAGAGCTCCTGTAGCACCTCGTCTGGGGCCTCTGTGCCCCATCGGGCATAGTTCTTGCTGTTGACATGGCCACAGAGCCAGAAGTGTGCTTCGTCGTTGAAGCAAACATCAACAGGAAAGCCAGGTTTCTCTTTGATCTTGTTTTGTCGTCATTTCGAACACATGCTGTACAAAGTGTACTCTTTGAGCCAGAGACAGCAAATCAATGATATTTAAATTGTTATTATATCAGCATCAAGGAATGTTATCTTGTCTCAGTTACTTGTTTCAGTACTAAATTATTACCATATTAATGGGTTCGTCTATATTGAGACACCCTGTATTATCCAACTAATTCCAATCCGAATCCTGTGTAAATTTTAATAATATCAGATCATTTCATAATTATACCTTTTTGGGTGTTACAATAGAATGTCTGCAACACAGTCGAAAGGAATTTGTATATTTCCTGCATTCCCTCCGGAAAAATGAACGACAGATTTCCGTGTGGTCAGATCCACGAAAACACCACAAAGGTAACAAATAAATATTTATATGACTATCAGCAGAATACATGTACATTCCCTCGACTCCAAATATCCCCAAAAATAATCACCTTTCAAATGTTTGATCGAGTATGCTGCATGGCTGTACCACCGTTTCCGAATGTAAGCACCAATTGCATTAGTTGAAAATATGACCTGCATATTATGTGGCACTTACGTGAGGCATAAAAGCTGATAAACAGATGCATATTATATGAAATATGAAATATGCGTAAAAACGAGGTCAAAGATACATATGAACTGAGCATTAGTAGAGCGTGGATTCCCAGTAACCCATATAAACCACTCCTACTAGTTTCTTAAATCCGCTGTTCCACTGTCATTTCCACAGAGGTAAAGAAATGCCCATTAAATTGAAAAGACACCACCAAATGTCACCAAATTTACATACATTTAGCGTTGGAGCGTGCTGGTTAAAGATCACGTGTCATGTGTCTGGTGACATTAGGTGGTGTCTTTTCAATTTAATGGACATTTCTTTACCACTGTGAAAATCACAGTAAAACGTCGGATTTGAGAGGGTACATGTAATAAATGTGAACAAATGCTTTTAAATGTTAATATCTTCACAGCTAGTTTAGATTTTCTGTACAACTTATCATGTTAGTTATGGTATCTGGAATGAAAATCACTATTTATTACCATTTTTATAACGATTTTTATAACGATTCTAATCCAAGTTAAAATTCAAATCCATAGCCAGTGGGGGTTTCAGGGGGTTCGCTCTAGGTAAAATTTGATCTAGGTACACGAAGTTTCTAATTTAGTTTATCACAATGTAAATTAAGATGACACGTGTGTCGCAGTTCTAATTTCGTAATAAAAAGAGCTTAGTCACAACGTTTACTTGGCAAGCAAAAAGCTCACCTGAACAGATAGGTGATTATTTCGAGAAGACACGTGTCAAACAGTGAAGTTGACCCAAGAAGTTGTAATCGAGCTATTAAAATCAACTCCTTTGGTGCTTTTACGTATGAAAAGGTATTTTATTATGTTTGGCGTTTATACCTAAACAGAAGCTATTTTTTATCTCTTTTAAATTAACTGTTCAGAGTATTACAATCTCAAATAAAATATGGGATTATTCATCTAGAAAACTTGTCTCAAACACAGTCATATCCCTTTGTTGTTCAATAACCCCACCAGCCACTTTGAGTCATTGACAGAACCTGTGACCAACTTTCCTGCACCGTTTCCAGTTGCCAGCGACCCTACGCCTCTGCCATCCACAGCCTCCTCAGTCACAAGGCCTTTCCCTAACCATTTTGTGACAGCACCGCCGACATCATTCTCCAGCTTCTCTCTGCCTCCGCCTACTTTTTCACACCCAAAAATGTAGCGGGGGTGATGGCAAAGAGCCAATATGTTATATTGGTTTAACTACATTAAAGGCATGGCTTACAAAATGGACATTACAGAAACTAAAGGCATTTTTGGGGGGAATAAATGTTTGAATAAAGATAAATCTTAGTTTTGTTACATGTGTATATGGTTGAAAACAATGTATAGAATAATGAAGTATCAAAGCAAACTGGACTAATAAATGTGTGTAAGAATGGAAATATCACATAAAATGTTCAAGAGTGATTTTACATAGTTCTTTCTCGTTAGCAGTGGTCTGCATATACAGGCAGATGCAGAAAGGTGGATCTAAAGGCCTCTTAGATTTCTAGACATGTTTTGACATGGAAATATGTCGATGGAAGCTGGAAATAAAACTTATTTATCCACCCCCCTACCCAAAAAAATGCACCCGGCTCCCGTTGGTTGTACATGTGGCTTACCCCTTCCTTTTCGCTCGGGCGTTGAAACAGGCAAGGCAGTGTACCATGTGCATGTAGAGGCAGTTCCACATAAATGGTTTGTACTTCACTTTCAACTCGGAGGGCTCAAACATTTTTCATTGTAAATACGTTAATATCAACAATTTGAAACAAATACATTTAAAGATACATGTACATTTGAAGTCAATTTTTTGCAAAAAAAAAAAAAAAAAAAAAAAAAAAAAAAAAAAAAAAAAAAAAAACCAAATGCAAGCATATAGTTTCAAATGGTATAATTAAAAGAATCACCCAAAGACATTGTTTAATGTTACCCACAAAGGGATTTTTCTGCTAGGTTTCTATGCTTTATATACAAGGTCACATAAGTAGGTTAAATTTCCGACCAACAATTTAAAAAAAATAGCAGTCTAAAGCTCTTTTATGGCTGAACGAGTGATTTATTCAGTTTATCCCTTGGCATGTCGACTTTATTTGAGTCGTATAAGAAACTTGTAGAAATGGTTTATATGTGTTACTGGGAATCCACGCTCCGCCGATGCTCGGTTCATATGTACTGTACCTTTTAATACATTGACTTGCATCCTGCTGCCCTGTTACATGCGTAAAGCATTTGGCATAACACAAATAAATCTAATGTCATTTTATTTCTAAATAATGAACATTAATGTCTGTTTGAAATGAATCCATATTGGCCCAGTTGTTGCTGGGCCCTGAAATATATTTTTTGTTATGAATAAACTATAATGAAATAATAATTATGAAGTCTTAAAAATAATAAAGTTGCGTGTGTTTATTATTTGCCATTCGTTATTTTCGTAAACAATTACATTTCAAAGGCTATTTCATATTATCTTAAAAGGAAGGCAAACCTTATAACTATCATTTCCGGGACAACTACAAAAATTGATTTTTACTGATGCTCCCGGAGACAATTATCGTAGTAAAAAGAAAATAAAAACTCCAGGGAAGATTTCCCCGATGCCTGAAGCCATTACTGGTCACAGGTTTTACACATTTATTATATCCATCAACGTCTACTTCTTTAATAGAACAGATATAAAGTCTCTGACAATTGGTGTCACAGGATGTAGGAACACTTTCGCCTTTAGCACTGACTATGTTATAACGGAAATACTTCATGAAAACATCGGTCTTCTTCTCCAAATTGGACACCAACTGCGCCAGTGAGGTGGAGGAAATTTCGTGAACGCCATATGCCTCACTGAATTTGTATTCTAGTTTCCACTGAGCCTTGGACTTGCTATTTGCATCAGGCAATTCCAGGTAATACTGCCAGATGTCTGTTAGTTGGAAAGTCAGTCTATCATATCGTAAGAGCCGGATTCCTGGGTTGTGGGTTGGTGTTATTGATGGTGCTATCAGTCCAAACGCTACTGGTTCACCTAATAAAAAGAACTGTTGGTTATAAAGCATTTTCTTTTTTTTTCATAAATACTAAATAATAAACGTTTCGATAAATCCTATTCTTAATTTGCCGCATTGTTTACTAAAGCTTGCTCTTACACAAGACATTGGTCATCAGTCCATTGCAGCAAAAACTAATGGAAAAACTATTTTCGCGGCTGGTTTTTAAACCTGCGAATTTTACAGTAATTTTACACTACCCCTGTACCTATAAACCGAGGCTTAATGGATTGTGGTATACGTACCCTGATCGTACCAAAGCTTGAACGTGTCAGTGTGCTGATGACCGTAAAACATGGCTGCTATTGTATTCTTGTATTTGATGATGAGCTCATTCAATCTCTTGTTAAAATGTGGTCTCATCATTAAAACTCTTTTTCCCTGCATACCAGTTGGAATATGTGCAATCACATAGGCCTAGTCAAAACGAAGAAAGGAACCGAGTAAAAAATATTGCAAATACAAGGTGTGAAAATTTGTAAGTGACAATTATTTAAAAAATGTTGGTTTACTTTTCAAAGAAAATGATTTTAAGATCAGGTCAAGACATTCCTTCCTTCCTTATTCCAGAAAGGGATTGCCTTAAGAACACTGTAAATCGAGATTGACTGTTAAATTATAAATTTCCTGTATGCCGACTTTACATTTAATTAGATATTTTCTACAAACGATTATTCTTCGACTTCCCAATTCTTCTAGCCGATTAAGGAAAAGATATTTTTTAATAATTTTGAATAATTTCTTTACTGCCATTGTGACATCAGTACCTAAACTGAATTAATCAATGTAGCAAACGAAAACACATGGCTGGCACCAACGTTTATTTTGTCCCAAATAAAGATGCCCTCATCGTCCTGTCACTCCAGAAGCGACACGCTTCGTTAAGGCCCACAGTCACACAAGGACCAATCCAAAGAATACTATCCCATCAAAGCTTATTTTGTGCTGCAGGAGTGCCACAGACAAGCTCGGTCACTTGGTGCTGACCATACTACCTACACATTCCCCTATCCACATATCTCACATGGGATATGTTTTTTTAAACGATAAATTTTACCAAGACATACATTTGAAACTGAAATATTCAATATAATATCAAATGTCGAGTATGTATTCCTTTTTAGTTTACCTTATTGCCATTTTGAGCAGCCTGTTTTAAGACCTTATCAAACCACTGAAGTTGTCCTGCGTGATCACTGATGTCAGCAGTCACTTTGTTGCTGCCATAATATAAGTTTGTGTTCAACACAACGGCCACCAACCCTTGTCTTATACTAACGGTGTAGTAGCCCCCTAAGACAAAAATCAACATGGTAAAGTGAAACACAATTAAATGGCAAATGAACCACAGAATAAATCGGTCCCCTTATGAACCCGGAATAAATGGGACCCTTTAGCAAAATATCAGGCCTGCTGCAAATAAACTCTCTCGCAAATGCGGTACAAATTTGCTACAAATTTGCTGCTTATTTGCAAGAAGTTATTGCAAATTTGCTAAAAACTTTCTGCTAATTTGCAAGACATTTCTGCAACTTTGTCACAAATTGTCGCGAATTCGCAGCAAATAGATGAGAGCCCGAAGTGCCCTGCTTTTGTGAAGGTTTTACTTTAAAGCCTGTATGGGGTTCGGGTTAGTAAAAACAAATCGTTCACTTTTATGTGGAATGACTCCCCAGAGTGCAGCTTGGATTAGTTAACTTAGGAACCATTCCCATAACCCTATCGTGCTATCAGGATCGATCTATCTCCAAGAGGATTCTCGCTAAATTGCGTTCAGTTTAAGCGTGCACGATAGTTAATTACCCCAAAGCAGCTTGACAGACATTTTTAAAAGCCGCTGAAACCGAATGCAATTCAGCGAGAATCCCCTCGGAGTTAGACAGATTCTTGCAGTACGATAGGTTTGCCGGAACCCAGTCTTACGCTATTATGTTTCACGTTAACCCAAGTGCTCGGTTTGGGNTCGAGTATGTATTCCTTTTTAGTTTACCTTATTGCCATTTTGAGCAGCCTGTTTTAAGACCTTATCAAACCACTGAAGTTGTCCTGCGTGATCACTGATGTCAGCAGTCACTTTGTTGCTGCCATAATATAAGTTTGTGTTCAACACAACGGCCACCAACCCTTGTCTTATACTAACGGTGTAGTAGCCCCCTAAGACAAAAATCAACATGGTAAAGTGAAACACAATTAAATGGCAAATGAACCACAGAATAAATCGGTCCCCTTATGAACCCGGAATAAATGGGACCCTTTAGCAAAATATCAGGCCTGCTGCAAATAAACTCTCTCGCAAATGCGGTACAAATTTGCTACAAATTTGCTGCTTATTTGCAAGAAGTTATTGCAAATTTGCTAAAAACTTTCTGCTAATTTGCAAGACATTTCTGCAACTTTGTCACAAATTGTCGCGAATTCGCAGCAAATAGATGAGAGCCCGAAGTGCCCTGCTTTTGTGAAGGTTTTACTTTAAAGCCTGTATGGGGTTCGGGTTAGTAAAAACAAATCGTTCACTTTTATGTGGAATGACTCCCCAGAGTGCAGCTTGGATTAGTTAACTTAGGAACCATTCCCATAACCCTATCGTGCTATCAGGATCGATCTATCTCCAAGAGGATTCTCGCTAAATTGCGTTCAGTTTAAGCGTGCACGATAGTTAATTACCCCAAAGCAGCTTGACAGACATTTTTAAAAGCCGCTGAAACCGAATGCAATTCAGCGAGAATCCCCTCGGAGTTAGACAGATTCTTGCAGTACGATAGGTTTGCCGGAACCCAGTCTTACGCTATTATGTTTCACGTTAACCCAAGTGCTCGGTTTGGGATTGAGTCATGAAGAGAACCTTAACAAAGAATTATATAAGCAATATACTAGAGACGTAAGCTTTTTCTGCAATTTATCTTTATGCTGAAACATATCACCGTTCTCTTACTAGCCCGTTGATCTCGCGAATCAACCATATGGCCGTGAATTGTGTCTGTAAACTATTGCACGTAGTAACGAACCTTCCCCCTCGAACGCCATGCTACTAGCAGGTGTCCAAAATTTAAGCCCATAAGACTAATATTCTCGGGGTCAAAACAGAGCTAACGTAACGCAGGCCTACCCTTACTGTGTCTCTCCGTGCCAGAATAGAGGACCAGAGGACCAGAATAGAGCCGTAACACGTGGTACATTGTGTTCAAGACAAAAAGCAAGTATTTTGAATTATATTTGTTTCATGCTAGTTTCTTATACATGTACCTTACTCACAGTCTGTATTCATTTACCTCTTTTTATCATTAAAATTTTGGACCGCACCTCATGATTAACGAGTTTCTAAATGACAATGATAGTATATAGTCTGGTTCATCGGAATGAAGGCCTAAAAGTACTCTTACCTTTTCGTAATGTTCTGTTGGCCTCGGAATCGCGGTACCACCGTTGCCACATGTTTGCTACTGCGCGGTAAATTTCATTCTCATGCGGCGGAAGTTGGTTGGCAGGGAAGTAGTCATGGTTACCGTGAGCTGCATACACTTTCGTATTCGGAAAGATGTCCATTAATATACCAGTCAGATTGGAAATGGTGCTGATGATATTTTCGGCACTGTCCTTGCTCTCGTCGATGTGAGGTCCGCTGTCCCTAGAATGGACATGTAGAATTGTACTACCAGTGTATTTTCATCATGTCGCCAAAGTCAATCTCATTTACCACCTCCTGACGAATCTTGCCCCCCCCCCCCCCCCCCCCCCCACTTCAACCATGATGACACAGTTTGAACCCAGAAGTCAGTCCTTGGTATGGGTTGGGGATTTTTTGATTCCCCCAGATTGTAACAGAGTTATTTTGAGTGTCAAGAAAGGCGTATGTTAGTTGGAAATAATAACGTTTATCCAGGAAGATACGTTGAGTCTGAATTTTTTGCAGGGAAATTTTACACAGTGGATTTTTAACTCAATAACTATTGATACATGGATAAAAGTAGTCTGTGTTAATATTAAAAGAAAACCTTTTAGGCAAAGCCTCTCGTTGAATTGGCAATAGAAAACTAATATATTTAATATAAAGAAAAATAAAAGACATATCTTATAAGAATGACGGCTATTAACAAAATACATGTGTAATGAGTAGAATGATCATAATGGAAAGGAACACATTTGTGTTATTATTATTTTTTAGGCAGTCCTCTTATTCATCAAAAAAAATTATTAGTTAGAAAGAATAGCTTGTTTTTAATTAAATTGCCAATAAAAACTTGGGGGATGATTGGAATCGAACACTAAATAAACCTTAGATTGAATCGTTTTTAAAAAAATAAAATATTACCCTGTCCAGAGTATAAAGTCTGCGTTAGGTTCAATCTGCTTCATGGCGTGTACGGAGCTGTTGATGAGGGACCAAGGGGAGTCACAGAGATAGTCACCATACGGCTTCTGCTCAATGTCTGCTACAGGAGAGGTACACGAGTCCTGACTGGTGAATACAGTGGAGTCATAGTGGAAGTCCGTCACGTGCCAGAATGAACCTTGAGGGCAGAAAAGGCGTCAAGTTAGGGTTGTCTTTTAATGTGGTAATTTTATTGTGGTCTTAAAATTTTTTTTAATTAGTTATAAACATGATACCGCAAATCTTCGTTTGATTTTATTATTTACGAGGCACTGGAATGTCACGGGTGATTCCCATCACCTTTGCAGCTTACGATCCGGTATGTACATGCATATTAAATGTAACCGTTCGAAAAGAAATATGGACGGAGGGTGGGAGGGGGGGGGGGGGGTAACGGAACATTACGAACTTGAAGAATGTCTGTATATTGTATATTGTTTAGTGTCTGTATATTTGTATATTTGCCACCTTTGCTGTCTAGCTTTGTTAAAATGGCTGAATCGGTAGTGACACTTCTGGGTTTGAGGCATGTAGGACACCGTTGTCATGCAGGGTCCTTTTAACGTAAGGACGCTCTAAGACCCCTGGGAGATCGAGAAGAGACCGTCTATGCCTAGCAATCTAAGCCGCGATTATGAAATAAAGTTAGTGAAGATTAAACACAGATTTAACTTTGGTTGCAGATGTATTCTAGGTATACAGATTGATGTACGCTACCGCATTAAATCAGTCGACCGTTAAAGTTTACACTCTGTATGGTTGACTCGAATTTTTATTAGCCTCAGGTGTCATGATAAAACATTTCCTAATGTCTGACATCGTTTAAAGTACCTACTATACGTGCAAACAAGTGATTCGTACCGCCTATGATACGCATTTAGATGCTGACTTGTCAATTTAATGTGGGGGGGGGGGGTTTGATTTCAAAGCTCGGTGGTTTGTGTGTGTCTGTGCGTGCGTGGTGGTGGTGGTGGGTGGGGGGGGGGGGGGCTCTACCGTCTTTAAGGTCTATTAATGGAAAATTAGAGTAGGAATTGGCAGTCACGTTAACCGCCAGCTTCAAGTCCACATCAGATTTAGACAAAGTCCATTACCCAGATTCCTTAAAGTATGGATTTAACACTCATACAGGTATTTTGATATTCTTTGATATACTTAAACCACACTTAGTTATTCATGTACCAATACCATAAGTACATTTGTTAATCCTCTGAAAATATAAATGACGCTTACCTATGTCTCCAGTAACTTGTTGCTTTGGCACCACAAGCACCAGCATGGATATTACATACATGTGCGATGCCATTTTAAACAAGTTTAGAAATATCTTAATTACGCAAGCACATACAACAACCCAACGTTGCAGAAAACACTTTCCCAGAGCTGGAGCAGCAGAGGCCACAAGTGTTTGTTACATTAAATCGTCCCTGAGATTTTCACACTAGCAGGTCTACAACATGTAACACAGGTTCTCCTTGTAAAAGACAAGCTAATGTAACTTTGAGCTGTGACCTAGATGTAAATAGAGAAGTCCTGCGACTAACTTACCTGAAGTGACGGAATTCAGTGACGCATATCAGGATCAGATTATAACTTTTTACTGATACGCGACAGAATTATGTCAGTAAATTGTGTTACTAATTAGTAGTGCATACATTTAAAGTGTATTATTACGTTACATTTTAGGTTTTTTGTTTCTATGGACTTGTAAATCAAAGACTGAATACATAAGTTTGCTTTGTTATTTCGCCACGTGACCCANCCAGGATCGATCTATCTCCAAGAGGATTCTCGCTTAATTGCGTTCAGTTTAAGCGTGCACGATAGTTAATTACCCCAAAGCAGCTTGACAGACATTTTTAAAAGCCGCTGAAACCGAATGCAATTCAGCGAGAATCCCCTCGGAGTTAGACAGATTCTTGCAGTACGATAGGTTTGCCGGAACCCAGTCTTACGCTATTATGTTTCACGTTAACCCAAGTGCTCGGTTTGGGATTGAGTCATGAAGAGAACCTAACAAAGAATTATATAAGCAATATACTAGAGACGTAAGCTTTTTCTGCAATTTATCTTTATGCTGAAACATATCACCGTTCTTTTACTAGCCCGTTGATCTCGCGAATCAACCATATGGCCGTGAATTGTGTCTGTAAACTATTGCACGTAGTAACGAACCTTCCCCCTCGAACGCCATGCTACTAGCAGGTGTCCAAAATTTAAGCCTATAAGACTAATATTCTCGGGGTCAAAACAGAGCTAACGTAACGTAGGCCTACTGTGTCTCTCCGTGCCAGAATAGAGGACCAGAAGACCAGAATAGAGCCGTAACACGTGGTACATTGTGTTCAAGACAAAAAGCAAATATTTTGAATTATATTTGTTTCATGCTAGTTTCTTATACATGTACCTTACTCACAGTCTGTATTTATTTACCTCTTTTTATCATTAAAATTTTGGACCGCGCCTCATGATTAACGAGTTTCTAAATGACAATGATAGTATACAGTCTGGTTCATCGGAATGAAGGCTTAAAAGTACTCTTACCTTTTCGTAATGTTCTGTTGGCCTCGGAATCGCGGTACCACCGTTGCCACATGTTTGCTACTGCGCGGTAAATTTCATTCTCATGCGGCGGAAGTTGGTTGGCAGGGAAGTAGTCATGGTTACCGTGAGCTGCGTACACTTTCGTATTCGGAAAGATGTCCATTAATATACCAGTTAGATTGGAAATGATATTGATGATATTTTCGGTACTGTCCTTGCTCTCGTCGATGTGAGGTCCGCTGTCCCTAGAATGGACATGTAGAATTGTAGTACCAGTGTATTTTCATCATGTCGCCAAAGTCAATCTGATTTACGACCTCCTGACGAATCTTGCCCCCTCCCCACCACTTCAACCATGATGACACAGTTTGAACCCAGAAGTCAGTCCTTGGTATGGGTTGGGGATTTTTTTTATTCCCCCAGATTGTAACAGAGTTATTGTGAGTGTCAAGAAAGGCGTATGTTAGTTGGAAATAATAACGTTTATCCAGGAAGATACGTTGAGTCTGAATTTTTTGCAGGGAAATTTTACACGGTGGATTTTTAACTCAATAACTATTGATACATGGATAAAAGTAGTCTGTGTTAATATTAAAAGAAAACCTTTAAGACAAAGCCTCTCGTTGAACTGGCAATAGAAAACTAATATATTGTTATATTATATAAAGAGAAATAAAAGACATATCTTATAAGAATGACGGCTATTAACAAAATACATGTGTAATGAGTAGAATGATCATAATGGAGAGGAACACATTTGTGTTATTATTATTATTTTTAGGCAGTCCTCTTATTCATCAAAAAATCACTAGTTAGAAAGAATAACTTGTATTAAATTAAATTGCCAAAAAAAACTTTTATGCAAAATGGGGGAGGATTGGAATCAAACACTTAATAAACTTTAGATTGAATCATTTTTAAAAAATGAAATCTTACCCTGTCCAGAGTATAAAGTCTGCGTTAGGTTCAATCTGCTTCATGGCGTGTACGGAGCTGTTGATGAGGGACCAAGGGGAGTCACAGAGATAGTCACCATACGGCTTCTGCTCAATGTCTGCTACAGGAGAGGTACACGAGTCCTGACTGGTGAATACAGTGGAGTCATAGTGGAAGTCTGTCACGTGCCAGAAGAAGCCTTGGAGGGAAGAAAAGGCGTCAAGTAAGGGTTGCCTTTTAATCTGGTAATTTTATTGTGGTCTTAAATTATTCTTTTAATTAATAATTAACATGATACCGCAAAACTTCGTTTGATTTTATTATTTACGAGGCACTGGAATGTCTCGGGTGATTCCCATCACCTTCGCAGCTTACGATCCGGTATGTATATGCATATTAAATGTAACCATTCGAAAAGAAATATGGACGGAGGGTGGTTGGGGGGGGGGGGGGGTAACGTTACATTACGAACTTGAAGAATGGTTTAGTGTCTGTATATTTGTATATTTGCCAGCTTTGGTGTCTAGCTCTGTTAAAATGGCTGAATCGGTAGTGACACTTCTGGGTTTGAGGCATGTAGGACACCGTTGTCATGCAGGGTCCTTTTAACGTAAGGACGCTCTAAGACCCCTGGGAGATCGAGAAGAGACCGTCTATGCCTAGCAATCTAAGCCGCGATTATGAAATAAAGTTAGTGAAGATTAAACACAGATTTAACTTTGGTTGCAGATGTATTCCAGGTATACAGATTGATGTACGCTACCGCATTAAATCAGTCGACCGTTAAAGTTTACTCTCTGTATGGTTGACTCAAATTTTTATTAGCCTCAGGTGTCATGATAAAACATTTCCTAATGTCTGACATCGTTTAAAGTACCTACTATACGTGCAAACAAGTGATTCGTACCGCCTATGATACGCATTTAGATGCTGACTTGTCAATTTAATGTGGGGGGGGGGGTTGATTTCAAAGCTCGGTGGTTTGTGTGTGTCTGTGCGTGCGTGGTGGTGGTGGTGGTGGTGGGGGGGTGCTCTACCGTCTTTAAGGTCTATTAATGGAAAATTAGAGTAGGAATTGGCAATTACGTTAACCGCCAGCGTCAAGTCCACATCAGATTTAGACAAAGTCCATTACCCAGATTCCTTTAAGTATGGATTTAACACTCATATTTTGATATTCTTTGATATACTTAAACCACACTTAGTTATACAGGTACCAATACCATAAGTACATTTGTTAATCCTCTGAAAATATAAATGACGCTTACCTATGTCTCCAGTAACTTGTTGCACTGGCACCATAAGCACTAGCATGGATATTACATACATGTGCGATGCCATTTTAAACAAGTTTAGAAATATCTTAATTACGCAAGCACATACAACAACCCAACGTTGCAGAAAACACTTTCCCAAGAGCTGGAGCAGCAGAGGCCACAAGTGTTTGTTACATTAAATCGTCCCCGAGATTTTCACACTAGCAGGTCTACAACATGTAACACAGGTTCTCCTTGTAAAAGACATGCTAATGTAACTTTGAGCTGTGACCTACACCCCATTCTCATAGATTAGATCGACCTACATTGGATCGACCTAACTCCCTGGGGGTTCACGCTAAATAGCTGTCAGCCGGGCGGACACGAAAGTTAATTACCCCTTAAAGCTTGTAGTAGGCGGGGACGGACACTTAAGGGGGATTATCTGACAGTAATCTAGTGAGACTCCCCGCGGTGATAGATCGATCTAAAAGTTGTGAGAACAGAGCCCTACATGTAAATAGAGAAGTCCTGCGACTAACTTACCTGAAGTGACGGAATTCAGTGACGCATATCAGGATCAGATTATAACAATTTACTGATACACGACGGAATTATGTCAGTAAATTGTGTTACTAATTAGTAGTGCATACATTTAAAGTGTATTATTACGTTACATGTCAGGTTTTTTGTTTCTATGGACTTGTAAATAAAAGACTGAATACATAAGTTTGCTTTGTTATTTCGCCACGTGACTCACAAAGTAAAGACTGCATGAATATTTTTAGGAAAAGTAGAACTGTCTAGTTATTCATAGGGAAGTTAGGATTATCTCAATGTTATTTTTAGAGTTAAGACTGTCTAGATATTCGTAGTAAAGTCAGGACTATATCAATATTATTTTAGGAGTTGGGACTTTCTTGATATTCATTAAAAAAAAGCTGGAGGTGAACGGGAGTGAAGACGTGGGCTCAGAGAAAAAACACTTTCAGCAACATGATAAGATAACAATTTTTCTTTTGGCATTTTTGGCAGAAAATACTTGTAAGAATAATAGGTACATGATATGGTACGTGTGTTCGAAATTTATAGGTGCAAAATGGTGCTTAATTTGCAGTCAATAGTTCTGAGTGCCAAGCGGGGAGACATCAGGTACCGCTTATGAAGGACTGGTATGTCCCCGGACTAAGTCGAACCCACGTGCGTCTTACCGCTCCGGAGGTGGACACTCTAACCACGAGGCGCTAATACGGCATTTTAAAATTACAGTATATATTAATTCAGATTGAATATTTAAATTTTAATTTTTTAGAATAAAAGTCACTAAAGTCTCGAAAAGTCGGGTTGTAAATTATAATGATCAACCAGAGACAGGTTTTGCAAAACTCTTTAACCAAATTTAAACCCATTAAATTCAGTTATAGTCCGACTAAATTTGATTTAGTAAGATGTTAATTAGCATTCAGTAAATTATGACAACTATAATTGTTCCCATTCCTTTTTAATGTTTTCACTTTTTTGTATATACCGATATTATATATTTTATATTATATTATATAAAGTAGGCCTAATATATATTTTTTCTCTTCTCTTAAGAAGAGCAATTAATGCCAGAAGCGATGTGCGTCCTTTTTGTTCTCTTTAATAAACCGCGTTAAAAGAAATGAAATATCGCGCCTGTTATAAACATCAAAACAAGAAATTCATATCTAACATTTATATATTGACATTATTTCAGTGGACTATTTGGGTATATACAGAATATTTATATGTGGGCACACCTTGAACAAGTGTAGGCCAATTTTTANTTGGATCACAAATACAAGTTCGCCTTTGATGTTGTGTTTATTTGTTGTATTTGTGTAGGCCCTATAACTGTCAATAAAATGCAATGATTCTGTGAACATTTCAACTTATATTTTGTCCATTTTAATACTTTCTTTTGTCATCTTTCCTGTCATTTAAGTCTGATCACAATGAAACTTACATTTTGTGAATGCTATCCATTAGTTTCTATAGCATCATTTTCATAAGTAAATAAATGAAGAAAATTAACTTTATGATCAAGTATGAGCCTTTTGAATTAGTTACTATAAATTTAGTGAAATTAAAACAAAGATGCGGGCAAGTCTAATGTTCTGATATGCAATCCATCAGTAAATGAAATGTCAAATAAAGTTTAATAGTAAAACATTTATAAAGAAAAATTAGTTGCAGTTATAAAGCTTTTGTTGTTCAAATGGATCTCATGAATTGACCAGTCAATGAAGAACAATCAAAAATGAACAATAGCTTTAATATGTCTATTTTGCATCCACTGGCACGTTTAGACAAGCATTTCTTTAAAATCCCAAAGACAGTAATATACAGTGACAATTAAAAAATTAAAGAGTGGATAACTATATAAAGTTCTTGACATCTACATTAGGGAAATAGTGAAAAAGGAAGATTGAAGAATATTTGCCAAAAAACAGAAGTAGGAAATTTCATATTGCAATAAGCTGGAGTTAACAATTTAAATTTAGTAATTATGATAACCTAAAAATGAAGCAATTAAGCCCTTGACAGCACTGGATTATTTTATTTACAAATGTCCAATGCTTGTAGAATGTACATGGACCTACTTTAAACATTGATATATCGATCTCATTGAAAGCAAAACAGTCATGCCACTCCCATAAAGTGACAAAAAGGTTGCAAATGAATCTCACGTCAGTTGTACGTACATATTATGTCAACACTTTTTCTTTATAAAGTGAAAAAAGAACGAGCCTGTAGCTCAAAAATTTTGTAAATTCAGCTATTTTTCAAGTAAAGAAATCGCTGCTCTACTTCCTTGTGGTCTCCATATTTTAACCCCACCTCAAGGCAGATCTCGTAAAATCACGGGGAAATGTGGTCTTCTCGTTGAGAACCCGGACAACCTCTATTATCTACCCTACTGAAGGAATTATGGGAAAATTTTCTACAGACGGCTGACCGAAAGTCATATATGGAGATTTCAAATATGCCCTTGGATTTGATCTTTGACTTTTGCTTCAAGGTCAAACCGGCCAAAATTTTCAAAAAAAAAAAAAACAAATTTTTTTACGAAAAAAAAAATTATTTGCCCTGATATTCAGAAACTACAAAGACTTAACCAATAATATTATTGGAGAGTGTCACCCTTTGGGTCATCTTTCATCTCCGTGAATTTGGGGTCAATCGGTGCATTTTCACTGGAGTAGGGGCCATAAGATACCGAAACTGAAAACTGTCTCTAATTCAGGAACCATTAATGCTAGAGACCCATTCTTTTTTGCATTTTGTAGAGCATGTAATACACTGAAGTGGTCTCCGATTTTTGGATTTCATACGGTTTTTGTGTTATGCTGTATTAAAAAGTACATTGTGGTGGTGAAAGCAAAATGTGCAAAACGGTATTGTGTAATAAATTTTGAACCTCTGGAGAATAAAACATAAGGCTTGGCGGGGCTGGTCATAGTTAGTCACGGCCCGTCTTGTCCAGCTCCGCCGGCTCCGCGTTCTGGCGCCGGATACAAGTCACAGTTACCGCTTCTCTTCCTAGACTGCAAGGACCCCTGTCCCCATCTCTTGGATTTAGGTCACATATAACCTCAACTTGAACCCCCTGTTTTTTGTCTCAGTCACTGCATTGGCCTGGTCATAACGCTCGCTGAAATGCACCCCTGTCAAAAATTTTGAAAATTTAATGCTGAATATCTCCTATACTGAAGGAATTATGGGAAAAATTACTACAGAAGCTTGACTGAAAGTCATATGTGGAGATTCCAAATATGCCCTTGGATTTAACCTTTGACCTTTATTTCAAGGTCAAACGGCCCAAAATTAAAAAAAAAAACGAAATTTTTAACAAAAAAAATTATTTGCGCTGAAATTCAGAAACTACACAGACCTAACCTATGATATTATTGGCAGGTGTTACCATTCAGGTCATCTTTCATCTCCCTGAGTTTGGGGCCAAT